TGGCAGCTGGTGTCTTGTAAGAGGTCCTCAGCCGCCGTTACGCCTCAGGATTGGAGGTGCTGGGTCCCTGGGTCAGCATGGTTGGGGATTTTATGTAAATGGATCTCTTCGGCACTTGTGTTGTGTAAAGGGACTGTATCTCCAAAACAGCTGTTACAGTAACCTGTTGCTGTCCTCGCTATTTCAGTGCACAGCCACCTCACTCTAGTTCCTTCGTATATTGAAGTCCCAATAGTTGTAAGCGTGTAAACGCGTGAGTAACTTTACTCCGTGGGACGGGCTTCATCGGTGCTGCTGGAGCCACTCGGAAGCGGGTGGAGTCAAGCACCGTGGAAGCCCTTGCGAGGGAGAGACTAACCATGTGACAAGGAGGCTGATGAACTTAAATTTACTTATGGACAGTTCTTCATGTGGGATTTTGTGTTCTAATTTATGATTAATTTTGATTTTTATTATTTTCTAAATTAACCGATGTTTTAAAAATGTAAATATATGAGAATCTAAAGAACCGTGTACATTCGTCTATGCTACGTGAATGTATACTACATTGTATTTTATGAGTGCCCGTAGGTTATAAAAGTAACACCGAGATTGGGCACTCACAGCTGTTTCATCTTTTCTTTAGACTTACAGATGGATTCTTGCAAGGTCTATTTTTTTCCCCACTCAAAACATGCAGTTTGCTTCCTTTTTTGCAAGTTTCAGCTATACATTGTGTATAGGGGCTCGGACGAGGGTAACTGAACATATTTATCTGATCTGTTGTACAGGAGTGTGACTGCTCGTGATCTTTTTGGGCTTATGCCTATTAATCTTAGAATATTTAAAATACAAAGTACCACTGAAGTAAAAACCTTTCCTAAAAAAATCACGAGGCTTGTGTGGGACAGCTGCCCTGTGACTTGAAGGAGCTCAAGGTACCACAGCCCTGAAGCAGGGGGCGGTTTAGGCTTTTCTGAGGACTTTAAATAGAGTTCTGTAATAGAGATTGATGCTAAACTTCCTGTGTAACTTCTCTCTGCGCTTTCTGCATCACTAGGTGCCTGATGGATTTTTTGCACATTTCTATGCTATATGTGAACATATCAGCCCTGTCCTGGCGTGGGGCTTTTTGGGCCCTAGAAATTCCCTGTATGACCTGTGCTGCTTCTTCAAGGTTTGCAACTTTTTTTTTTTGATTACCGCTTCACTTTAAAAAAAAGAAAAAAACCCCAAAAACTTAAAGAAATGAGGATCTTATTTATGGGCATACGTTTGTATTTTCCTAAGATTAAGACTAACAGTAAGAAACCATGAAAAGAAGTATTTTCAGATTAAAGTTTTTTTAAGCCCAGAACTGTTTTGCCAAGTCTGTTTTAGTGCACTTGTGTCTTAGCACCAGGGAATACCTAAAGGGGTGTTTTCAGGACCTGTGTGAAGGAAGGGGCTGGCGTCGCGTGCTTTTTCTGCTTGCAAGTGAACGCGGGTTTTTCTTCTTCTCCCCCACCAGGATCAAGTGCTTTTCTTCCTCAAAGACATTTTTGATTTCGAAAAGGTGAGGTACTCCACGATGGAGAGTTTGGCTGAAGACCTCACGCAGCTGCTGATCCGGCACACCGAGCTGCTGACGGCCTACCTGGGAGCAGACTCGCTGCGGCACGTCGGCGCGTGCGTGAGCGGCCACGGGCCCGTGGTGGCCAGCGGGCTGGTGGAAGCGAAGGCGCAGTAAGTGCGAAGCCCGCGGGGCGGGGAGCGCCCGTGGAGGGGCTCCTCCTGCCCGCCCTTCTCCAGCGCCGACGCCGACGCCGAGCGG